GGCCGCAGCTACATTTTCATCATTTTTCTGCGAAAGCTTCAGAAAAGTGGATTACCCCCGGATCCGGTTTTTTGTTGACGCTCGTTTTCCCTTGCAAAAAACAATAGAAAATGAAAATTCTTGTTCTTAGTTGATCAAATTTCAAGAATCCCTTGCAAAAAATAAGGTAAAGTGGACATTCGCGCTCGCAAGACGAAATCCTTCCAAAACCTTAGGTTTCGTAACGATTTTAACATAAAAACATCAAAAACCCAATGGTTTTTTAAGAAAAAAATGTCAAAATGTCCTTCCGCGCGCTCTTGCGGATTCATAGGAAACACACCACTTTTTAAACATTTCTGTCAAAAGGGTCTTTGCATCGCAGACGACGATGCGTCGCGCCTTTAGTATGCTTCTGGATGCGAAGACCATTCGGTTGAGTATACCCCTACGTGTGACTGGACCTGTTTGCGAAAGCAGGAGAAAGTATGGCACCCCTTTGTGTCCAGAGCCGCGCCGTCTGCGTTCTTCCTTTCTCGCTTCTCTCCTTTCCTCCTTGTCCTGCTCCTCCTCCCCCTCTTCCGCCTTGGAGCCGTATTGGAACTGTCGATGGCCATCTCCCTTTCTCCCTCGCATGTCTGCTTGTACATACGTATAATTTCAGAACTTACCGTGCATGCGATCGTTTACAACATGGTGGACCGTGCGTATGTCACGAACCTTGTATACATGTGTTTCTCTCCCTCCGTCTGGCTGTGCACGCGCGCGTTGGGCACTGAGAGTTAGGATCATAGCGCCATGAGTCTATGAGCAATGCATGCGTCATCCTTGGGACTGTATAACATCAGTGTAACACATGTACTTCTGTAATCGCATCCCCACGAATTTGCCCCAAAAATGTGACCAACTATCTTGGCACTGCGTACCATCTCACGTGTACCGTGTACCACATCATATGTAACAGATGTGATCAACCTCTGTGGGTGTGTACCCCACGCCAGTGTAGTAGCCAGGGTCGTCCGCACGCCACGAAGTGAAGTGTCCCAACGTCATAGGGCGGGAAGCTGGGTGTGGGTGGTCTCGAAGAGTCGTTTGGATATTTGGTAGAGCTTGAACGGCCCCCCCACGAAGTGGGGGTATTGGCTGGTGTCGCAAGAAAACCCTGGCACTGGGGAGAACACTGAGCGTTCGGGTAAAATGATTGTTGTTGTTGTTGTTGTTGTTGTTTGTGTTGTTGTTTGTGTTGTTGTTGTCGTTGTTGTCGTCGTTGTTGTTGTTGTTGTTGTTGTTGTTGCTGTTGTTGTTGTTGCTGTTGTTGTTGTTGCTGTTGTTGTTGTTGTTGTTGTTGTTGAACTCTCATTTCTGAAGAATAATTATTGTTAATCCCCCCACCGGTGCATACAGTTTTTTCTCAATCAAAGTGTGCCCCTCGACGCTCGCACCTTGTTTTTTGACAGGGAAAGTCTTCCTGCTCAAACTGGCCCCCTGGCCCCCGGGTTACAACAACAACGGCTCCCGCTTGAGAACTCTTTACAATTTAGGCAGGACCCCCGCTCCCGCCCGAGACTTCCTCGCATTTTATTCAGGAATCGCGCTCTCGCTTGGGACTTCCTTTCAATTTATTGAGGAATCGCTCTCCCCGAGCTCTGGAGTCGCGCTCTCGCTGGAGACTTGCTTGCAACTTACTGAAGAATAGCCTTGCGTTGGAATTTCCTGCAATTTGCCCAAGCGCCGCGCTCCCGACACCCAGGCACCCAGGAGTCGCGCCCGTTGTGGCCCCATGTGCATGCCCTTCGTGGCCCCGCTGTCGCCATTTGTGTCCCCCTCATTGTTCCTACGTGGCCCAGCTGCTACCCTCAGTGGCCCCATAGTTGCCTTCTGTGGCCCCGCATTATCTGCACTTCGTGGCCCCCGCTCGTTCTCACTCTTCGTGGCCCCATACCCGTTCTCTTCGTGTCCCCGCTGTCGCCCTTCGTGGCCTCCTTCGTGCCCTTCGTGGCCCTGCTGTCGTTCTCTCTCGCTCTCGCCTTCGCTCGTCGTCGCCGTCGTCGCCGTCGTCTTCGACGTCGTCGTCGTCGTCGTCGTCGTCGTCGTCGTCGTCGTCGTCGTCGTCGTCATGGTCGGTCCCCTGTCCGTCCCTCTTGGGGTTGGGTCGACGGTCCGCGGCCGCCCCGCCGATCAGCGCTGCCGCTGGCCAGGCCGACGGTCCGCGGCCGCCCCGCCGCTTGCCAGGGCCCGGCCTGCAGGGAAGAACGGTATACCCCCCAAAAAGGGTTCGATCGAAGACGAAGAGGGCGGGTATCGAGGGTTTGGGAAATACGCGTTATTGGACACTCGAGCATATCAGGGCGAACAGTCTTAAAATGATTGTTGTTGTTGTTGTTGTTGTTGTTGTTGTTGTTGTTGTTGTTGTTGTTGTTGTTGTTGTTGTTGTTGTTGTTGTTGTTGAATTCTCATTTCTGAAGAATAATTATTGTTGATCCCCCCACCGGTGCATACTGTTTTTTCTCAATCAAAGTGTGCCCCTCGACGCTCGCACCCTGTTTTTTTTACATTGACAGTCTTGATGCTCAAACTGGGCCCGTGGCCCCCGGGTTACAACAACAACGGCTCCCGCTTGAGAGTTCTTTACAATTTAGGCAGGACCCCCGCTCCCGCCCGAGACTTCCTCGCATTTTATTATGGAATCGCGCTCTCGCTTGGGACTTCCTTCCGATTTATGCAGGAATCGCTCTCTCGGCGCTCTGGAGTTGCGCTCTCGCTGGAGACGTGCTTGCAATTTACTGAAGAATAACGCCTTTGCATTTTTTTTTTTTTTTTGTTCCTTCTTTTTCTTTTTTTAAATTGCTCAGGCGCCGCGCTCCCGACACCCAAGCACCCAGGAATCGCGCCCGTTGTGGCCCATGTGCATGCCCTTCGTGGCCCCGCTGTCGCTGTTTGTGGCCCCTTCACTGTCCTACGTGGCCCAGTTGCCTTCTGTGGCCCCGCATTATCTGCCCTTCGTGGCCCCCGCTCGTTCGTGCCCTACGTGGCCCAGCTGCTACCCTCAGTGGCCCCATAGTTGCCTTCTGTGGCCCCGCATTATCTGCACTTCGTGGCCCCCGCTCGTTCTCACTCTTCGTGGCCCCATACCCATTCCCTTCGTGTCCCCGCTGTCGCCCTTCGTGGCCTACTTCGTGTCCTTCGTGGCCCCGCTGTCGTTCTCTCTCGCTCTCGCGTCGTCGCCGCCGCCGTCGTCGTCGTCGTCGTCGTCGTCGTCGTCGTCGTCGTCGTCGTCGTCGTCGTCGTCGTCGTCGACGTCGTCGTCGTCGTCGTCGTCGTCGTCGTCGTCGTCGTGGTCGGTCCCCTGTTCGTCCCTCTTGGGGTCGGGTCGACGGTCCGCGGCCGCCACGCCGATCAGCGCTGCCGCTGGCCAGGCCGACGGTCCGCGGCCGCCCCGCCGCTTGCCGGGGCCCGGCCTGCAGGGAAGAAAGGTATATCCCCCAAAAGGGATTCGATCGAAGATGAAGAGGGCGGGTATCGAGGGTTTGGGAAACACGCGTTATTGGACACTCGAGCAGATAAGGTCGAGCAGTCTTAAATGATTGTTGTTGTTGTTGGTGGTGGTGGTGTTGTTGTTGCTGTTGCTGTTGTGGTTGTTGCTGTTGCTGTTGCTGTTGCTGTTGCTGCTGCTGCTGTTGTTGTTGTTGTTGTTGTTGTTGTTATTGTTGCTGCTGCTGCTGCTGCTGCAGCTGCTGTTCTTGTTGTTGTTGTTGCTGCTGGTGGTAGTGGTGGTGTTGTTGTTGCTGCTGCTGTTGTTGTTGCTGTTGCTGTTGCTGTTGTTGTTGTTGCTGCTGTTGCTGTTGTTGTTGTGGTTGTTGTGGTTGTTGCTGTTGTTGTTGTTGCTGCTGTTATTGTGGTTGATGCTGTTGCTGTGGCTGTTGCTGTTGTTGCTTTTTCAGGCTTCTTGTTGCTGCTGCTGTTGTTGGTGTTGCTGCTGCTGCTGCAGCTGCTGCTGTTGTTGTTGTTGTTGTTGTTGTTGTTGTTGTTGTTGTTGTTGTTGTTGTTGTTGTTGTTTGGTGTTTGTTCTTTGTTGTTGTTGTGGTTGTGGTTGTTGTTGTTGTTGTTGCTGTTGCTGTTGCTGTTGCTGTTGCTGTTGCTGTTGCTGTTGCAGGTTTGTTGTTGTGCTCCCTGCTGTGTTTTTCTTGCCATTGCTTCGGGGCTCGAGGCCGCCTCTCGGCCTCCCCTCCTCCCGTGGGGCCGCCGGAGCGGCACGCCTCGGGGCGCAAAAGCGGCGGTCTCGGCGGCAGGCCCCCCGGGGGGTCGAGGGCTCGCTCCTCCCCGAGGTCGGGGGGCGGCCAGGAGGGGGGGGACGACCTGGGTCGGGGGAGGACGAGGTGCCCAAACATCTGCCCTTCTCGGGCGAAGAGGATCATCCACGTGCGCCGATCCTGGCAGGGCCCATTCTTGACCCAGGATCGGTGCATAATGCCTTCGTGGCCAAGGTATGGGGGCGTATGCACCGATCCTGGGCTCAGGATGGGCCTGGCCAGAATCTGTGTATGTGCATAGTTCTCTTTCCTCTATCTTCGCCCGTTTTTCCATTTCTGGGCCCTCTGGGAGGCCCTCGTCGCCACCGCTGGATCCGCCTCGAAACGCTGGTCGTTTGGTCTCCCCATTGGGGGGGGGTGGACATCATGGCGGGGGCCATGATATCTCCCCAGATTTCGTGGCGCCTCCTCTTATCTCGTGAAGCCCCTGCCCCTTCCCTGGGCCGCGCACATGCCGCCGGCCATGATTTGCGCCCCCCGCTCTTGGACGCCCCCCCTCTTGGCCGCCCCCGATGAGGGCCCCGTTGGTCAGAGGAGCAAAAGGTATCCATACCGCTACTCTTCCTTCGTTCTCCCTTTTCTGGGCCTCCTCGGAGGCCCTCGTCGCCGCTGGCTTCGCTTCAAGATCCTGGCCAGGGTGCGCCCCAGGAGAGGTCTGGGGAGTGCCGGTATCGGTGCCTCTGGTTTCCCCCGTTGGCTCGTGGCAGCGAGGAGACCCCCCCACCTGACCAAGCAGCTGACCAGAAACCTGTCCGACGCGCGGCGGACCCGGCTGCACCTGCGCGCCGGGACGAGGGAGGGCGACGACCTGACGGACCTGCTCAGCCCAACGGGTGTGGAGAGCCGCAGGTCAGGCTGATTCAACCTCATTTGTCGGCGGGGGACAGACAGCACAACATGGAAATCTCGCCACAATGGGATGACGCCCGTTGCAGAGCGCTTGGAAACTTGAAACGATCATGGTTCGCCATGGGGGTATGAAGTTTCCAGCCGCCCTGGAGTAGGGTACAAGTTTGTATTTCCCAAGGAGTGCTTGCACTGGAGGGGGCCCTCGCGGAGGGTATGAGGATTTGGCGGAAGCCTGCCGCTCACTTCGTCTTACGGATTCTGGGCCTTGGCAGTTTTTTTTCCGCCAATTTCGGTAGCTGGTCAGAGATTGAAGAAACTGTAGAGAGTGCAGAGAGTGAGGAGGCTATGCGGGCGTGGAGAATATAGAACGTATCTTGTAGGATATGCAGAAAACGCATGGTAGGGGGAATCTGGCTCTGTTTATTTTGTTGCTTGCTCCCTTGCTCCCTTGCCTCCCTTGCTCCCTTGTGCCCTTGCCGCAAAGGGCGCAGCCCTGCTCCCTTGCTCACTTGCTCCCTTGGCCCCCTCCCCCCCCGCCGGGGGAGTAAGGGTGTACAGACGCGACGGTGCAAGGGTGCAAGGGGGTAAGGGTGTAAGGGTGTAAGGGTGCAATTGTGTATGTGTGCATGTGCGTAGCCCGCCTAGCTTTTAGCAGAAGAGGTTCGCTCTCGCCCCGCAGACCCAAAAATGTGTATGTGTGCATGGGTTTCCTCCCCACTCCTGGCTCCTCCTCCTTCTCTTCCTCCTCCTCCTCACCCTCCCCATTCTCAACGCGCCGTTGCGGCTGAACGCGCAATGGCGCAAGGGCGCAAGGGTTCAAGGGCGCAAGGGGACATGGACGCAAGGGCGCAAGGGCGCAAGGGTGCAAGGGCGCAAGGACGTAAGGGCGCAATGGCGCAAGGGTGCAAGGGTGCAAGGGCGTAAGGGTGCAAGGGCGCCAGGGTCCCAAGGGCTAGGGTCACAAGGGCCAAAGCTACACCCTAATTCCTGTCACAGGAATTAGGAGGACAAGGTTTGGGGTCACAGGAATTAGGAGGACAAGGTTTTGGGTCCACGCTGGCCAACATCTCTTCCCTTTTACCCTCTCGGGACTTATCCCTCCCGAGAAGAGGGGCATAAGAAGAAGATGGCGAAGAGGCAGGAACAAATCTTTTGAAACAGCGCCCCGCCGCTGCTAGACGGGGCCCCTCCCCAAGCTGATTCAAAAGGCATCCTTGGTACTAGACGTGCCCCTCTGCTGTGCATCACCCGCTGCTGGACGAGGCCCCTCCCAAAGCTGATTCATGCATCATCCTTGGTACTAGGCCTGCCCCTCTGCTGTGTACCACCCGCTGCTAGACGAGGCCCCTCCCCAAGCTGATTCAAAAACATCCTTGGTACTAGACGTGCCCCTTTGCTGTGCATCACCCGCTGCCAGACGAGGTCCCTCCCCAAGCTGATTCAAAAATGCATCCTTGGTCTCTAATTTGTATTTTTGAATGCATCCTTGGTAGTAGACGTGCCCCGCTGCTGTGCACCATCCGCTGCTAGACCAGATCTCTCCCCAAGCTGGTTCAAACACCATCCTTGGTACTAGACGTGCTCCTCTGCTGTGCACCACCCGCTGCTAGACGAGGCCCCTCCCAAAGCTGATTAGACATTTTTTACCAGCAAGCGGGAGCCCAGTGGCAGAGCGCAGGGGGACGACACGACACGACGACGAAAACGACGGACGACAGACGAACGAGAAGCGCGCGGGGAAGAGGGGGAGGGAAGAGGGGGAGGGGGGAGGGCAAAGGAGGCGCGCCGGCCCGCGCCCTGACCAGCTGGCCTCAGCCCCAGCCGGCTGCGGCTGCGCGCACCCCGGCGCCGCGCCCCGCGCGGCTAGCCTGCGGCGCCCAGTAGCTCGGCGAGGCTAGGCGCGCCAAGTGCCGCGCCACCCGGCCGCGGGCCGCGGGCAGGCGCAGGCCTGCCGAGGTGGCGCGCGGCGACCCGGACGGGCGCCCAGTCGCGCTGGAGGATGGCGCACACTGCCGCGCGCAGCGCCTCGGCCGCCTCCGCGGCTGCCGCGTCCGCGGCCGCAGTCGGGGCCTCCGCCTGAGCGGCCTCGCTGGCGCGGGCCGCCGCCGCCGCGCGCGCTGCCGAGGGGCGGCCCCGGCCGCGGCCCCGGCCCGCGCGCCCCCCCGCTGGCAGGGCCGCCGCCCGCGGGTCGTTGAGCCTGGCGGCCTCCTCTTCAGCCGCCAAGTCAGCCCAGAGCCGCTGCTTCTCCAGCTCTGCCGAGGCGGGGTCGCGACGGTGGCGGCCGCGGGCGCGCGCCCCTCCGCCTGGTCCCGTCCCTCCCGCCCATCAGACCCTGCCCCGCCCAGCGGAGACGCCGGCAGGGGTACCCGACGCGCCAGACGAGTTTGGCTGGCCCACGAGCTGTGCCCAATCGAGCCCGTCGTACTCGCGCCCGATGGGGCGCCGGCGTCTAGGGGGAGCGCCGGCGGCCCGCCAGAGAAGGCCGGCGGCCACCGCCTGGGCTAGGACTATCGCCGCGTCCCCCTCGGCCGCGAGGCCCAAGCCTCCCGCCATGAGCGCCGCCACCACCGCCTCTGCGGGGTGCGCTGTCTGCGGGTCCATCGGCTGGGAGGCCCAGCCGAGGCACGTCCCACGCGGACCACCTCGCGACCTCGCCGCCCCCTGGGGGGCTTGCGATCTGCGCACCTGTCGCCACTTTCGTGGGCTCCTGGGAGGCCCAGCGGAGGTGGGTCCCACGCGGACCACCTCGGAACTCGTTGCCCCCTGGGGGGCTTGCGATCTGCGCACTTGTCTCCATTTTCGTGGGCTCCTGGGAGGCCCAGCGGAGGTACGTCCCACGCGGACCACCACGGGACCTCGCCGCCCCCTGGGGGGCTTGCGATCGGCGCGACTGTCGCCACTTTCGTGGGCTCCTGGGAGGCCCAGCGGAGGCACGTCCCACGCGGACCACATCGGGACCTCGCCGCCCCCTGGGGGGCTTGCGATCTGCGCACCTGTCGCCACTTTCGTGGGCTCCTGGGAGGCCCAGCGGAGGTACGTCCCACATGGACCACCTTGGGACCTCGCCGCCCCCTGGAGGGCTTGCGATCTGCGCAACTGTCGCCATTTTCGTGGGCTCCTGGGAGGCCCAGCGGAGGTACGTCCCACGCGGACCACCTCGGGACCTCGCCGCCCCCTGGGGGGCTTGCGATCTGCGCACCTGTCGCCACTTCGTGGGCTCCTGGGAGGCCCAGCGGAGGTGGGTCCCACGCGGATCACCTCGGGACCTGGCCGCCCCCTGGGGGGCTTGCGATCTGTGCAAATGTCGCCACTTTCGTGGGCTCCTGGGGGGCACACGGGAGGTGGGTCCCACGCGGATCACCTCGGGACCTCGCCGCACTCTGGGGGGCTTGCGATCTGCGCACCTGTCGCCACTTTCGTGGGCTCCTGGGAGGCCCAGCGGAGGCGCGTCCCACGCGGACCACATCGGGACTTCGTTGCCTTCCAGGGGGCTTGCGATCTGCGCAACTGTCGCCACTTTCGTGGGCTCCTGGGAGGCCCAGAGGAGGTGGGTCCCAGGCGGATCACCTGGGGACCTCGCCGCCCTCTGGGGGGCTTGCGATCTGCGCAACCGTCGCCACTTTCGTGGGCTCTTGGTAGGCCCAGCGGAGGTACGTCCCACGCGGACCACATCGGGACCTCGCCGCCCCCTGGGGGGCTTGCGATCTGCGCAACTGTCGCCATTTTCGTGGGCTCCTGGGAGGCCCAGCGGAGGAGGGTCCCACGCGGATCACCTCGGGACCTCGCCGCCCCTTGGGGGCTTGCGATCTGCGCACCTGTCGCCACTTTCGTGGGCTCCTGGGAGGCCCAGAGGAGGTGGGTCTCACGCGGATCACCTCGGGACCTCGCCGCCCCCTGGGGGGCTTGCGATCTGTGCAACTGTCGCCATTTTCGTGGGCTCCTGGGAGGCCCAGCGGAGGTGGGTCCCACGCGGATCACCTCGGGACCTCGCCGCACTCTGGGGGGCTTGCGATCTGCGCAACTGTCGCCACTTTCGGATGCTCCTGGGAGGCCCAGCGGAGGTACGTCCCACGTGGATCACTCGGAGGTACGTCATACGCGTTTCTTTCAACGCCCCTGTGCTTCCATGTTGTATATTTGCCGTTCCTCTTCTTGCTGCGCTCTTCTGAAATCACTGCTGGGTGCTCTTCTTGCGCTCTGCGGGTCCTTCAGAATGCCAGTCAGCATTTCGTGGTCCTGAGTATAATCGCCACATGTATAGAAAGGGTTGGGTACGTCACAGGGTAATCAGGTCTATAGGGCTATGGGGCTAGAGGGCTGTAGGACCATCGGGCTACAGGTCCATAGGGCTATAAGGCTGTAGGGCTACAGGTATACAGAGCAGCTATAAGGCTAGAGGCCTATAGGGCTATAGGGCTATAGGGCTATAGGGCTATAGGGCTACAGGGCCATGGGACTATGCACCCAGACACCCCCGGGCACTTCCGGGCACTCGGGCACCCGGACACCCGGGCCGGCCACCGAAATCGGCGACGCACCTCACCTAACCATATGAATCCGCTAGGACCCCTACAGAGGCAAGCTCTGATGGGGGAAATATTAATGCGATCATGTATAATTTGAGTTATCACATGCGTACAGACACGCACACATATATATATATATATATATATATGTAAACATATATACACATGTATGTAAACATATATACACATGTGTATATACTTATCTGTAAAAATGTATATATACATATTTATATAACATATACATATAAATGGGACGCAGGCGGCGCAGGGGAGAACAACATATGCAGTAGAGACAGTTGCGCGAACAGGGCGGGCAGCGGGGGGGGCCACGCGTGGGGGCGAGACGTCATCTTGAGTGCAGATACCAGTCGCCGCCATGATTTACGTACGTGCTCAATGACGGCCGCTGACTGGAGGGCTTCCTCCTTACGTGGGTGTTTGTGTTTTTCTTCTTGTCGCCACTCGGCTATGAGCTAT